AAGAGATCAAGACCATCCTGGCCAACATGGTGAAACCCTATCTCTACTAAAAATACAAAAATTAGCCGGGCGTGGTGGCACGCACCTGTGGTCCCAGCTACTTGAGGCTGAAGCGAAAGAATCTCTTGAACCCAGGAGGCAGAGGTTGCAATGAGCCGAGATTGTGCCACTTCACTCCAGCCTGGTGACAGAGCAAGACTCTGTCTCAAAAAAAAAAAAAAAAAAAAAAAGAAGAATGATTATTTCAACCTGGAAAGGAGTGCAGAGGGAGGATTTAACAAAATGTTTCAATAGTTTAGACAGTTTTTCTCAAAGTTTGTGAGAGCTAATGAAAATAATACAAAGACCGTGGCTCATTGAAGGAGCCTAGGAACTAGATCTCGACATTTTAATCAAATTTCCCAGGTGATTTTGATTCACACCAGAGAGAGAAAGTGTGCGTGTGTGCGTGCGCGTGCATAGATATCACACTAGCTATGTACTAATGCAAATAACTAAAGATTATAGCATGAAGCACTTAGATTAGTTAAAAGTGTAAAAGAGAAAATGTGGGAAGATGTTCGTACTTGTTGAAATGGCTTGCTTGGGAACAGTATCAAGTAGTGGTTCTCAAACTTTAGTGTGTATCAGCATTGCCTGAAAGGCTGCTTAAAACACAGATGCAGACTTTGTAATTTACTAGGTCTGGGGTGAGGCCCTGGGATTTGCATTTGTAACAAGTTCCCGGATGCTGCTGCTGGTCCAGGAGCTACACTCTTGAGACCATTGGTGTAGACAAGCACATTCGTTCTAAATCCTGGCTGTGCACTAGAATCATCATCTGGGATGAGTTTTTAAATTATCATTGATGTTGGGGCCTCATCCCCAAGAGATTATAATATAATAGAATTTCAGTGGAGTCTGGGCATGGGTATTTTGTAAAGTCTCCACTCCAGGTGTTTCTAATATGTAGTCAGGATTGAGAACCACTGGGGCTAAGGCTTCTGGAAAGCTGGGGAAGGAGTCCGGGCCAGGAGGGTTACATTAAGTACTGGGTTATCAGGTTTAATCACATTTGTCTGAGTCTCCTTTCCCAGAGGCAGGTGATGCAGTGCACTAAACTATCTTTCTAACATCCTTCTCCCCTCAGAATTGATATTCTACCTAGGAGGCTTTACAAATGAATCTCCATGTTATACACCTAAAACAACAGTGTGGAGAAGACAGTTGATTTTTCCTTTCAGCAATGCTGCCCTCTAGTGTTCTTAATTATTCAAATAACGTAAAAACCCACCTCGGTTCTTTCCTGTTAGTAAGCTAAACGAATTTTTCTCTGATATATAATTAAATTTTAGTTCATGGCAACATGAATCATGAAAACTTCAGCCTCTCAGTTCTCCTGCAATTTCTCCCTGCTTTTGATGTTGCAGCCTCCTTCGAGGACAAGAACTCACAGAGGTCTCTTTTCCCAATTCCACCAAGCTTTTCTCTTCAGAGTCAAAAGCTAAGTGAGAAAAAAAACTACCAGCAACAAAAAGACCCGGGGCATTGAAGTGCATTGCAGAGGCTCTCCTCACCCTTTTCTCATTTCTCCTACACACCTCACACCTCCTTTTTCACTTGGTTCACAGTTTATTGAGAATAGAATTCATCAGACAGGTGCTCCCATGTCTTCCCATGATGAATTCTTCAAACCTCCCTGGGTCCCATCATCTGACAGAAGTGTCCTTCCCACCTCTAGGGTCTCTGCCCCTTCCCTCTCTCTCTTTAGCAAGTCTCTCTCTCCCACTTCCTTCCCACACCCCTGTCCATTTCATCAATAACTCTGTCTTCCTAGGTCACACACAATGGCACACAGGCTTACTCTTAATGTCCTGAATACCCCTTCAGCTCCTGTCCTATTTCTCTTCCAAACTTATTGAATGCATTGTCTTAAAACCTCCTCTTCTTCCAGTCATTATTCCATTGAGTGGCTTCCATTGGCTCCAGCCTTGCCTGATCCCATCACATCATTGACAACGAAGCTGCTTTTCTCATGGTCTGCAGTGACCTCCTTACATGTGGCCAAATCCAGTGGACACGGTTTTGAGCTGTTCTGACACGAATGCCCAGGGCCTTCTACCCTGTGGGCACAGCTCCCTCTTGAAGTGCCTTCTGCTCTTGGTCTGACACATCCCTGTATGCCGGCTTCCCTCCTGTTCCTCCGGCTACCCAGCATCTTTCATGGGTCCTCTCTCTAACCCCCGGGCTGGCCATCAGAACCTTTTCTCTTTTCTCTCTATAGACTGTCCTTACTAGGCTCATCTATTTTCATGAATTTAAATATAATCAATAGACTAGTAACTAATAAATATGTATACCACCTCTGGTCCAGATTGCTCACTGTCTCATTTATCCAACTATTAAATATCCACTCAACATCTCCCCTTTAGTATCGCACATGTATCTCCATTTTTCGCATGTCCAAAGAACTCGATTTTTCTCCCAAATCTGTTCTTCCTTCAGTCTCCCTTATCTCTATAAACAGCCAAATATCTGGGAAACAGCTTTCCCTGACCACACTCAGTCCATCTGTAAGTACTGTGGATTCGTCTCCAACTTATATTTTGAATCCATCCACCTCTCTGTTTGCTACCACCAACCTATTACAAATCACCCTCATCTCCTGCCTATAATACAGCAATACTTTGTCAAGCTCTTCCTACTTCCTCCAGTCCTCCCTGTTACTACTGATTCTCCACAGCATAGAGACAGTGTTCTGAAATGCAAACTATAGTCTACCATCCCCTGACCTGATAAAATGCTAATGACATCATTAAACCTTGAATAACATACAAATGACATGGTTTGCCCTCTGCCAACTTTATCTGGTACCCCTGTCCTCCCTCCCCCCATTGCTGAAACTCGCTAAGTTCTGTCCTACCTCAGGACCTAGGCACATGCTGTGCCATCTGCCTCAAATGCTTTTCCACTGTTCTTCACATTGATGGCTCCTTTTTTATTTTTTATGCCTAAACATGATTACTGTTTAGTAAGACCTTCCTTACTCTACTAAATAGGTCTTCCCTTTCATTTCCTGTCCCAGTCCCCTATGTTATTTTCTTCATAACGCTACATTTTATAATGACTTACTTGTAAACTTCTCCACACAATTCTAAACTCCTTGAGTCCAGGAACTTGGTGTCTGTTTTACTCACAGATGAACCCAGCAACCAGCACAGTGACTAGCAAATATTAGGCTTTTAATTCCTGTGTGTTGTATAATTGACCAAATGTGCAGGAAGGGTCACAACTTCCATTCCATCTTCACTGCTCTTGTCAAGGACTCCCATGTGCCCAAGCCTCCTGTCAGCATTCTGTGCTTGTCTTACTTGGTGACAGGGACAGAATTAAGGGAGAGGCCAGGTCGTTTATCCTCGTTAACCTCTTCTGTGTTTACCAGCATGTTTGATTCACCACAGTATCTCCAGCACCCAGAACAGCAGACACCTAGTAGATACTGTTGATTGGCTGAACTCCTAGCTCTTAATGACACAGGATATGAAGGGAAAGGAAAGGAAGCGGTTGCAGTGATGGTGACATCCAAAGACAGAATCCATCCGGGGCAGAGATTCATATCATTGTTTTCAACTTCTAGAAATGTTTATCATAGGCACACATCTCCATTTGTATAATGAAAGAGAAGAAAAGCAGTTCCTTACACTTTTTAATCACATATGTTTTATAAATGGAGAATGAACTTCAAAGTTTTAGTTGCTGGGCAGTAATTTGACATTCTAGAGTCTTTCTCCAAGAAATAAAACTATTTTGCTTATAAGCCAGCTTTTACATCTATTGGACACACAGTGGTGAATGAAAGTATTCCTATCTTCCAAACGGAGAAAATCAAGGGCAAATAAAAATAGTTTACACAAGCCAAATAAGCAAAGAAGCTAAGACCCTGACTGGCCATTTCATTCCAAATCCTGTTCCCTATCAATTTAGACAGCATCTGCTCATGAGAAATTTTTTTAAAAAGTACATCTACTGCAACTCTACTTTGAGACAAGGATTTGGTTCTTCTGAAGGGCACTTAACTGACTGATGTTACTGAGAAATAGAAAAGCCCAAGTCCTGCGACTTTTTGAAAATGTCAAGTGACCTGGCATCCTGAGTGTTTAATCGACCTGCTTTGTAGAAGAAATCCAACCCTGTCTGTGAATTTTCACTAAATTAAACTTTCACTAAATTAAAGCTCTCTTGTTCTGCAACATATCTGGCTGGTGCCAAGAAAATTTGCTCAGCTCCATCCTCTGGGAAAGGGAATCATTTTCCTGTTTAGGAAACGTGATGTCGAGCTGCATGAGGCTGATGAGCACACTGGGTGGGACCACAAACAGGCCCCAATGAAATCAATTATGTGGGTGTCTTAGGACAAAATTTGGTTCAAAGTGATCAAGGACAGGGTGTGTCATGGCAAGCTGTGAGCCACTGTGGCTTCAGCTGTTTGTTCAGCATTTAATATGTTTATCTTTCTGCTAAACACACTGTTGTTGAGTCACCTCTATTAGAGACTCATTCTGTGTGAGGCCCAGCTATGCAAGTCCAATATACAAAGACAAGCCTTTCGCCCTCCACGACCTTACCTTCTACAAAGTCAAAACAAATGCTTTCTCTTACTACTCACTTTAGTGAGAAAGGTACCCAGGCTCTTAAAAAGGTGAATCAAGTATTCTTTATTAGGCCAGGAACTGTCAAGCAATAAAATTAAAAGAACTTAAAGTGGTCATTATGTTTTCAGTATCATTTAGTGTTGCTGCTATAAATGGAAAATGGAACATCAGTTTACCCGAAAGTACCATCAGCCTCCAAACCATTAGTATTTCATGTCAGACTATAATGTTGTCGCCAATATCAGACTAACTTTATTAATCAAACAAATGATTACATTATGCTTCTAAGCTTTGGGTAGAGGGGTAAAAATCATATAATTCTGAAATGTAGATGAATTCATGAAATGCCATCTGTTTGACCTCCCACAGAAATTGTTCGAGCCATGACACATGTGATAAACCAAGGCATGGCGATGTACTGGGGCACCTCGAGGTGGAGTGCTATGGAGATCATGGTAACGTAATTTCTATTTTTAAGTGGCTATTGAATAGCTTATTATTGCTTTGCAGATGTCATGCATAAATTGTAAGATCTTTTATAAACTTTTCTCACAATCACTACGGTACTAGAATTCTAGAATCAATTCCATCATTATAGAGATGGATATTGGAGCCGGAGCTCATCTGTTCAGAATACAACAGATAATACAGCGTTCTCTGGTGACAAGATGGTAAAGTGAATTTCATAGCTAATGAGATATGTTAACAGAGTGTTCTAGTTTCCTTATAAAAAACTGTATTAACTATACTGTTCATATCAAAACTAGTTACAGATACTTTTATATGTTAGTCTAAGTCTTATTTCTTTACAAACTTAAAAATAGTTAAACCACATTTTCTTTATCATAGTCTATAATTCACACTTTGACTAATTTTCCCTAGACTTAACTCAGTCCATACTCTCCCAAAGAATAAATAAGGATTTCCTATATTTCATATTGCTCTTAGTGAAATTGGTGGTGACAACTTTGCTTATTATTTGGCATCCTACGTGTTTCTTGGTTTGTACTGATTTCACCAAAGTAAACATTTCTCATGCATACAAATTACAGCTAAGCTTATTTTTCATAAGTATAAATTCTCATTCCTCTCTAGGAAGCCTATTCTGTGGCAAGACAATTCAACATGATCCCACCAGTCTGTGAACAAGCTGAGTACCATCTTTTCCAGAGAGAGAAAGTGGAGGTCCAGCTGCCAGAGCTCTACCACAAAATAGGTAATCTTCAAAATAAAAGCTACTGAGTATTTTTAACAATAGGAAGATCACTGATTCTGGTGTGTGGGGGGGCAGGAGGGAATAAAAACAGTGTTACTGAAATGCTTTCCTAAATGTCCATAATTAACATAGACATTGTAAGAACCGTACATTCCAGAGACTGTAGCAGAATCAAGATGTGTCTGCATTTAGTGTACAGGGTATCACTGATGAAAGCCAAGCAGAGTTGTAAACGGTGACTGATGTTTAAGCTGTACTTAGCAGGTGTTTAAAAAATGCATACTGAATTAAGGGAAGAACCAGTAAATAAATTCATTTTCCACTGGTGTTTGCTCTAGCGCAATGCATCTCTGAGTAGACAATGACTACCTTTCCAAAAAATCATGGATATATACATCTATATCTACTACTCTGGGCCTGGCACTGAGTTAGATATGGGAAATTCAACAACTAACAAGTCGGGCACTATACATCTGTGCAGATAGAAGTAATGCCTTCAGAGACAGGGGAAATACATATATATAACATATACACAAGAAATTTAGACATTAGAAAAACATGAATAAGCCGCATTCTCAGGGTTGCTTATCAAAAGTTTTCAGAAATAACATTCTTCCAGAGACACAGAGGTTCATATGAGCAGGAAAATGCTGGGAAAAGGAGAAAAAGATAAAAATTCAACAACAACCATAATAATTATTATTGCTCTAATTTATTGAGTGTTTACTGTGTACTAGGTGTGTGCTCCTGCTGTGTACCATGCACTATGTCAGGCACTAAATGGACAAGGACAACAAAAATTCATGGATGAGCCACATATTTTTCAGGCTTCTTCATATGTCCCGCTCCCAGGAACTGACAGTCCACGTTTCATTGGTTGATTAAAAAATGAAACACAGTCTGTAAGCTCCTAAATTGTAATGGAAAAATGCATGCTGATATTAACTCATTTATCTGGCCAGCTTTTCCCTATAACCTACCAAATTTTGTTTAAACACCCCCCTATCCTTTTGATTCCAATTTGCACAAGTAACTTTCTAAGTTTTTTCTTCTGTAGGGGTTGGCGCAATGACATGGTCTCCACTTGCCTGTGGAATCATCTCAGGAAAATACGGAAATGGGGTGCCTGAAAGTTCCAGGGCTTCGCTGAAGGTATTTTTTCTCAATGTCTAGAAAAAAGCCTGGGGGTAGGAAGGAGGGGAAAAGATTGATAATAACAGCTCTGCAGCAGCCTAGGGCTTCCCAGCTCAGGCAGACTGCATTGTCCGAGCCCGGAGCCTTCTGGAGGTCTCCGCGCCTGGCCACGTATCAGTCAGCCCTTCATAATCTGCCTGTGTCAAATATTCTTTCTCTGGGGACAGGGGAAAAAGTGCCCAATGGTCTGATTGGACTTGTAGGGCTCAAATACCTACACTGTTATTTATTATTATATTAAAGAAAACATTCCATCATTTGAAACTGATAAAATGTAAAATCCCTTTTCTATATAAGAGGATCCTCGTATTATTTCCTTTTCTTGACAAAACAAAATGTAAGCCATAGAAGCTTAATCCATATGAGGCCAACAGTTGTAGCTGAGTATGGTTGACACTTTTATTGTGTGTTGGGGAAAGTGGGTTAGAAGGGAAGACTTCAGGAGACAGATACATAGCAAAACTTCTATTACTTAAGGCAGCTTAAATTCTTCTCTGAAGCAAAAAGACATTCAAGACCATTGACACAAAATTACCTCCATTCAGGATATCTTGATGACTAATTTATTGGAGAGTACTCCAAACATCTCTCCTTATTAATAACAACATGCCTGTTTTTAAAAACTTGGTAGAATGTGTAATAACATTAGAATCACAAATTACTCTGTAATGTCAAGGGAGAGAGAATACAGGCATTTTAAAAATTCAGACAAACCAGAGTCCTTCAAGAGGAGGTATAGGCCTGATACATTCTCTTGCCTCCATCAGCACTAAATTATTGGAAAAACAGCTCAAGTCAAGTCTGAACCACCAAACCTTTAATCATTGTGGCTGTGGCCACCATGTGCTTCCCTAATCAGAACATTTTCAAGGTTCTAGGCCTTTGACTTTCCTTGCTGTGTATAACAGTTGAGCTTTTGCTTGTTTGTTCTCTAAAATATTACAACATAAATATCTCCTAAAGCCTGATGATATTGTCCTATTTCTAGTTTTTGTATTATTACAAAAAAACAATTATCCCAAAATAAGACCTTGCTTCTGAAAATTAAAGATTGTTCTGAAACAAGTCTAAATAAGTCAACAAAGACAGACTAAAAGCATCTTAGGAAAGAAGGTATAAAAGGAGGAAGGCAAGAAGGGAGTGAAGAAGGAAAAAATGAAAGAAGGAAAGCACTGAGAATTACAATTTTACTGAGTACTTACTATGTGCCAAGCACTGAGCTAAGTGTTTTCATTCATCAACTTTTATTCTAAGAGAATGGATACAGGTGACGTTTCGTCAGCTGAGCTAAGCATGTTGCCGTATGTTCTTTCAGAGGCTTGCTGAAAAATTCAAAGCACTTCTATATATGCTGAGTGTCTGTTCTCACAATAACCTGCTGCGAGGGAGACCCTTTTCAGATGCAGAAACTAAAACACAAAGACCTTAAATAACAATCCAAGACCATAAACTCAGAAAAGGTTGATATTAGAACCCAGGTTTCCTGGCTCTTAGTTAATTATCTCCCTCAAAGACATCTTTATTTCCCTTTAAACCCAGGTTTTTAAAGGAGGAAGAAATAGCTATGTTGTATTTGGAGTGCTTGATTGTCTAACATCCACCGCTATTTGAGAAAATCTTGCAAACAGCTGAAAAAGCTTTCACAAATTCACTAGTGAAAGAAAAAAGAAGAAGAAGAAAAAAGAAAGAGTGACAAAATGTTTGAAGGTGGCTAAACCCAAAAGCAGCTTGGGAAATATTTCTATTGCTGACTTTTATAAAGTCAACTCTGTATCTACTGGAACATCCTTAACAAACATTAAGAGCTCTCAACGGATGAAAGGTGGCTGATCACAAAGTATGCTTCTTTAGAGCTCTGCAGATTCTCAAGGCTCTACATTATCAACCTGAGTGCTTTTGCAGTAATATATGTGCACTTAGGAAAGCCACTTGAGTATAGTTACCAGAGCAAAAAAATAAAAAATAAAAAAAGTAAAGGAAGCAAATATCAGAGCAACCTTAGGAGTGAATAAGGATGCCATGAAGGAAAGAAAGAAAAAGAAAAAGGAAGGAAGGAAGGAAGGGAGGGAGGGAGGAAAGGAAGGGAGGAAGGAAAGAAGGGAGGTTGGTTAAATTAAAAGATAGATAATCTGGGCAAGTAGATAAATAAGTTGGTAACATTCATCTCACCCTAAAAGAGAATAAGTAAATAGTTTGTGTTTCACATTGGCTATTGTTATACTGATAAGATTAAGAGGTTAATATGTTGCATCTGTTGTAGTATTGAACAGCCGATGAAGGATAAATTAACTCAGCATGAAAAATACCTATCTAGGGCTCTTTTAGAAAGTAACACTACCCAGGGGATTTTCTGGACTCCCTTATCTGTCCCTACTACTCTAATGATGATTTCTAAATTTGTGTTATCAGCTCTGACTTCACTGCAGAGCTGCACAGCACTCCTTCTTTGTGTCTATTAGACATCTCCAAGTGGAAGTCCCATGGGCATCAGTCATGCCTAATGGAATCTATCCTCACCCCCAGAACCTGCCATTCCTTCTTGTTTAACAGTGCCTCCACCCATCCATCTAGTTAGTCAGAAGCCAAAGCATTATCTCAGACTGCCTCCTTTCCTTCCTTATTACTGTTCAACAAGGCACCAACAAATCCTCCAGAATCTATCTTGACTCTAAGGTCCATCTTGTGCACAGCCCTTGTTTAGATCTTCATCATTTCTTACCACATTTACTGGAGTAGCCTCCTATCTGGGCTCTGATTTCCTCCCCTTTTCTCAACAACCCACCATTGTGACCACTTAATCTTTCTAAAATATTAATTTGACCATATCATCACCCTGCTTAAAATCCTTTAATGATTTCCCAATCATTGGTTATAGGACAAAGCCATAGCTTCACAATAGAGCATTCAAGGAAATTCCCTTGGGATGTAAGTTGAGCCTATTTTTCCATTTGTGTCTCCTGTATCACACTACTTCATTTTCCATGCAAATGTACTGTACTCTCCTTTGCCTCCCAGAAATGTCCTTCTTTTCATTCTCCTGCAGAATCCCTTATTCCTAAAGACAAAGCTTGGTTGTCTTCATCTGTATGAAGACTGTCCCAACTTTATAAAACTGAGCTATTTGTACCTTCTCTATTATTCCATGAATACTTCTTACAGAGTCTTCTAATTCTCTGGTTGCAAGTAACAAAACTCAATGAAAACTAATCTGATCAGAGAATGGGAACTGCATTGGTTCACAAAGACAATCCTTGGGAAGTATGGAGTGGCCTCAGAAGTGCATCCATCCATGGACTTGTACATTGTCAGGACTTCCAATCTCCTCTATTTCTCTCTGCATGTGGGTATCATTTTCTTCTACTATAAATCGGTCTTCTTCACGAGGCCAGGAGCAGGAAAGCTGGTGGTTGCAGGCTTACATTTCTAAAGGCATGTAAGCTAAGATAAAAGTGATCTTTTCTTTGCCAACTTCAGTCCAGAGAAGACTGGCCAAGCATAGGTCATGTGCCAACTTGTGAGACTAATGACAGTGCCCCAAAGGATAAGGTACTATGATCAGCTCAGGTTATGCACCACTTTGTCGTGGCATTTTCCATTAGAAAGCAGTACAAACATAGATTGTAAGGAAATCATTGATGGTGTGGAACACTAACAACAACAACAACAAAAAAAAAAAAAAACAAAAAAAACACTTCCCCGTTACTAGGAAATGATTTGTGAATACATCCAGGACAGAAACAGAAACCTGCTCATCTGACTCATCACAGAGCCTGATGAGTACACAAGAGGTACTTAAGTCTTTGTTACATTAATTTGATGAGCCATAATAATGTCAATAAAGTCTGATAAAGAGACCAGGTGTATAGCTTTTAAATAGAAATAAATAGTGCAATAAAATTTACTGGCAGCTCCTCCCTGTTGTTGGCAAAATGCTTTCTAGAAAGCTTACAGGCCAGGCGTGGTGGCTCATATCTGTAATTCAAGCGCTTTGGGAGGTGGAGGTGGGCAGATCGCTTGAGCCCAGGAGTTCGAGACCAGCTTAGGCAATATGGCAGAACCCCATCTCTACAAAAATACAAAACATTAGCCAGACACCATGCCCACCTGTAGTCCCAAATACTCAGGAGGCTGAGGTGGGAGGATCACTTGAGCCTGGGAGGTTGAGGCTGCAGTGAGCCGAGATCATGCCACTTCCCTCTGGCCGGAGCAATACAGTGAGAACCTGTCTCAAAAAAGATTATAAAAATATGTGCTCCTCTATCAAAGAAAAAATAGGAAGCAAGCACACCTTGATGAATCAAAGTTGGGGGAGAAAGGTGGTCCGAATACGTCAAGTGTTCATATTAAGAAACTAAGCATACTGTACATTATGGTGAAATTTCAGAAGGCAGGTTTTCAGCTCTAGCATTTTACCTAGAGATCTCAACCTCAGTAGTGACTTTGTTTTTGTTTTGAGTCAAAGACTTTGATGTTTTAGTAGAAATAGTCAACAATCTTGGATGCTAAATTATTCTAGACAAGATTCAGAACTGAAATGTGACTGATTCTGTCCATGGCTACAGTTTCAGCCTGAGTTCAATCCAAGATTAACTAACAACTAATTAGGGATTTGAGGCAAGTCTCACAGACTATTCTCACCCCAATATCAACATGTATGAAATGGGGACATATAAAATCATCATAATATTGGGAGAGGGCAAAGAAATAGGCTTTAGGAAAGCCTACAGAAATTATTTAGAGTTTTATAGTATGCATAAAACTAATAGCCAACTAATCTGTGGAGAAAAGCTCATTCAGTTATCTCATTGACAAATATTTACTCAGTGTACCCTGATTTTGTGCTGGGTACAGAGGATACAGGGATGAATGGGACAGTCTCAACCCTCAAGGAGTAGCTCCAGGACTTGTAAGAGGGACAGACATAGGAAGGGGTGAATTATGAAATAATATGGTATCCACAAGCCCTGTGGTATCTCACAGGACTGCTGGCAGAGTCACACTGCTTTGAGAAGGAGGTGTCATGATCAATCGGAAAAATGGGAAGAGATTTATTTTGACCCCAGGAAACTCTGGTTTCTCTGACTCCTCCCTGACCACTGTATTGGCTGAGCCCCTCCTCCTTGCCAGCCACAAGTGTCAGAACTGGAGATGCTGACACAAACAACAAGCCCTCCCTGCCTTCTACCTGCTCGATTTAGAAAGACCGACATGTAATCAAATCATTGCAGTGCAGTGGGGTGATAGAATAGGGTTGGATGAGGAGATTTTACCTTTTGATTCATGGATTACTGTCCAGTCAGCAAGAAGGGTTTATTACTGCCACAACCACACCCACCTCTAACCTTCCTACAAAACACACCTTTTGCTTCCATATGTAATCAATATTTTAATTAAGCCCCATCACCTGTCTCCACTCACATTTTATGATTCGGAAAACAGTTAAAGCTGTTTATTCCCAAAACACTTTTGTTTCCTTTGGTATGAGGAAAGCAGTATAAAAACTGCATCTACTTTTGAAAAATCTTAATCTGCTTATATTTCCATAGATTAAAGCAACAATGAGACTTACGGTGTTGAGGGTGCGTAATAAATGCTCGATTGTTATTTTTTTTTTACTTTTGGAAGCCTGTCTCTGAAAATGGCATATGTGTGTAACACACATATATACACACACACACATACATATAACTTGCAACCCAAGCCTAAGAAAGAGAATGTGCTGCATATAAGATTTAAAAAATGGAAGAGTTACGAAAGATTGATAAATCAACCACTCTTTACATGTCTGATATATAATGAAACTCAGAAATTCTCCTAATACTAAGAAGAAGCAATTGTTCAAAAAGCAGTTGGCTATTAGTTTTCCATCTTTGTTAGTCTGTTTGAAAACACTCAGAGATATTGGTCCCCTGAAAGATGTGACGAAACTTAAGTGAGGATTGGTGGTGTTTTTCCCACTGAGGACAGCAAAAGTTAGTTCAGGGACTCTCTGACATAAGACAGCACTTGGGTGCAGGAAGTCTGCCCAGGCCCCAAGGCAGTGCCCATTGTTCACAGTGTCCGCCTCAACACCACTGGCACCAATTGTCATCTCTGGAGAGATGTTCCAGGCCACTCTTCTTTTTGAAGAAGCTGAGGCTTTCCAGAGGTAAGGCAGGGAAAATGTTAGCCATCTCCCCAAGCCGACTACCAAGTTAGGAGCCAGACCATAAGCCTTTGAGATTTAGGAGGCAAAACTGGGGCGGCTTGCCCTTCTCTTTTTCTCATTGGCAAAATAACTCAAAAAATCATAATAAAATATAATATGGTTACCCTTTTCTTTGGAAATACTGTCTTAGAATGATGAAAAAATGCTCAAAAAACAAAAGCGTATAGCCTATTGAAATCGTGGGTGGAGTGTCTATGGCCCACTGCCTATTACAGAGCATTCTGTGCCTCGAGGAAGATAAAGATCCGCAATGGCGATTATGTCACAAATACACGCAAGAGAGAAAGTCCACATTGCCACACAGTGTGATAGTTTTTAATTATTTTCCCTAAAACAGGCTAACATTCTTACACACATTCTTTTCCTCTGGGTGTTGCTGCTTACTGCTCACTTTATGTAGAAGAGTCTGTTATTCCCTTTCTTGTAGGAAAAGCAGAACCTTCTGAAAAGTAGGGCATTGAGAAATTCTAAAAGATTTTTCTCTTTGTATTTAGGAGATTAGGTTCATTTTGTAGTCTACAGCTCAGGGTCAGTTTCTTCTCATTGGCTTAAAAGAATAGTTTCCTGTTTTGAGTTTCTTTACTTTTTAAAGTTTCAGTAGTTATACAATAGGTAATAACATTTGGCAAAGTCTTTATCCACTTTAAAATTTTTAAAATCTTCTTGGTATCTATCAGTTTTGCCACATCTGCTTCTAGGAAGGAGCTGCAGAAGCTAACAACAAAGCCTCATTATAAAAAGAATAAGAAATTAGCAGTGAATTGAAGGCAAGGGGGAGAAAAATAAACAAGAATGTAAAATTATGCTTTTCTTTGAGCAGAAAGCTTGGCACCCAGCTTTCTTAATAAAAAGGAGACATAATAGATCTTGGTAAAATGTACGTTTTTGGTGCTACATTCTAGAATTGGGCTATCCCAATAAGAAATATTATTTCTTCTATTGGGTAGGCTAGGATATAATTGGTTATATGTCAGGGTCAGGGTTTTAACAACTTTTGTGCATGCTGATCAATTTGAATGGTGAATATTAGTCAAAATCAATCTGTTTTGAACTGATAAGGAGCAAGATCATGAGGAACATTTCTTTGCATGAAATCATCCTTGTCAGTCTGAATCATAAGGGTCAAAAAATTCAAGAAATCATCATGAGGTTGATATATTTTATTGAATTACCATTCTTTAACATCAAATCTTTACCAGACATTTACATGTTATGCTTTTCCCCAGTGCTACCAGTGGTTGAAAGAAAGAATTATAAGTGAAGAAGGGAGAAAACAGCAAAACAAGCTAAAGGACCTTTCTCCAATTGCAGAGCGTCTGGGATGTACACTACCTCAGCTAGCTGTTGGTAAGAAAATTACTAAGCTATGAGGTTGTAGGGGGACTTCTGCTGAGATCATAGTTTTCTATTGCTGACCACACCCTTACCATGATAAAATGTCTATTGACAGACTGATCTCTGAAGCATAAACTCCTGCTAAATACTCTATAAAGTGAGGTATTTGAGGTTTCTCAGAATTTTCTACATGATAAAAAATTTTTCTTCTTTCCCCTTGCCTGTATAACATAGTTTAAATGAGAACATGTCAGTGATAACACATACACTATCACAGATGTTAGGGGTAAACGGTGTAGTGACATCCATTTCTTCTGGCTCCAGTTTCTGTCTCTGTGGAAAACTAAGCCAGGGTTGGTGAGAGGCTGAGATACAAGGCTGTGACAGGCCCAAGGCTGCTGCCACATGAAAAGCTGATCCAAGAGAAATAGCTTCACCCTGAAACTTCTTGAAGGCCAGAAAATTTGTTTTTCTAATGCTGGAGTCTATGAAAGGTCATGATTACTGGTAGCAATTGAAAACCATATGCACTGTTTAAGAGAAAGATAATAGAAGCCACATATAATCATGGGTGTTTCAGTCAATGATGGACCACATATATGTAGGTGGCCCCATAAGATTATAATGGAGCTGAAAAATTACTATTGTCTAGTGATGTTGTAGCTATCCTAAGGTCCTAATGCAATGAATTACTTATGTGTTTGTGGTGATGCTGGTATAAACAAGCCTACTGCACTGCCAGTAATATAAAAGTCTAGCACATATAATTATGTACAGTACATAATATTTGATAATGATAATAAATGACCACGTTACTGGTTTATATATTTACTACACTTTTCATCTTTAGAGTGTTCTCTTTCTACTTACTAGGAAAAAAAAGTTAACTGTAAAACAGCCTCATGCAGGCCCTTTAGGAGGTATTCCCGAAAGAGGAATTATTATCACAGGAGATGACAGCTCCTTGGGTGTTACTGCCCTTGAATATTTTCCGGAGGAACAAGAAGTAGAGGTAGAACACAGGGAGTTACTTTAGGAGCAGGCAATACCTTTGGGGAATCTCAAATGATAAGCAGATATTAGTGAGGCAAAAAGAAAGGGGAAGGCAAAAGGACATTTCAGGTAAAAGGAATAGCTTGAGCAGTGTGCTCCAGAAGGAAGGGAGAGAAAGAGGAGAAAAGCAGCATGATGCTTGGGGATGGAGAGGATTTAAAGACAGGTGAGTGCTTCTGAAGCAAAGTTCAAGGTAGGGAGCCATGAAGCTGCAGACGTAGGCTAGAAAATAAGGTTTGCCAGGGTAAGAATTAAGAACCTCATCTTACAGGACAATGATTCAGTCAAGCACTAGCTAGGGAAGTGACATGATCAGATTTTTGCTTAGAGAAACCTTTACTGGCTGGATGAGAGCTGTATGAGGGAAATATAAGGGGACAATTCAAGCAAGTGGGAGGAAAACCAGTTACGCAGGAGAGAGATGGTGAGGGCGAGTGAGGGCAGCAGTGACTGAGAGGGAGAAGACAGCTGACCCAAAGTGATCATTGTCAACCTAAGGCCTGTATCCACACAATGGAATACTCTTCAGCAACAAAAAGAAATGGTATACTGGTACATGCTGCAATATGGAAAAACCTAGAAAACATATGCTAAGTGAAAACCAGAACAAACAACCACCTATTGTATGATTCCATTTAGGTGTAATGTCCAGAAAAGACAAATCTGAAGACAAAAAGTAGATCAGTGTTTGCCTTCAGCTTGAGGTAGGGATCTTATTAGGGTGATAGAAATGTTATAAAACTGGATTTAAATGAAGGATGCACATTAAAAATGGTGGTTGGTAAACTTATAAAATTATTTAATGTACACTTTAAATGGGTAAAATTTTTGATGGGTAAATTTTACCTCAATAAAGTTGGTTTAAAACAAAAAAAAAAGCATGGTCCCAAATGAGCAGTATCAGCATAAGCATTACCTGGGAGTATGTTAAAAATGCACAGATCGCACCCCAGACCTTCTGAATCAGAAGCTCAGGAGTGAGACATGACAGTGGATGTTTCACAGGCCCTCTGAATGATTCCGATGCATACCAAAGTTTGAAAACCACTTGATTAGAGGAATATTTAGGAGGAATAATCAACTGGACTTAGCAGTTAAAAGGGAAAACAGGGTCAGAAAAGGACAGTTCTTAAAGATTACTCCCAGGTTTCCAGATTGGGAAGCCACATTGCTGGTGATGCCCCTAAGTGCGATTGGGAATGCAAGAGGGCCGGGCGTCATAGCAAGAAGTTTGCAGAGCCTGTAAGGCATCTAGCAGCGAGGTCCGGCAGACGCTGCATCTAAAAGTCTGCAGCAACACTAAGTTCCAGGCAACTAAGGACTCAGAAGTTCACTGTAACCACCAGGAGGCTCCTGGGGACATTGGCTTCTGGACAGAGCACAAAAGTGACTGGAATGTGAAGAAGGTCAGTAAGGGAATCTGAACTGACTTTTTAGAAGTTAAGAGAGGAAGAGGGTTGGGGCAGTATCTAGGCAGGTATAAAGGGTCAGAGGAAGCTTATTTTAGAATGGGAGAAATTTTAGCATGTTTTGTTGACATGCTAAATGTTATGCTAAAATGTATATATGTATAAATGACATGCTAAAATGTGTACAGATGGTTTAATAGTACAGGTTTAAGGTCATTTCAGGAAATGAAAGGAGATAACCAAGGCCAAGAGTGAGGCTGGCCAAGCTGGCTGAAGCCCAGCTGGGAGAGAAGATGTGAATGCATAGAGGCAGCAGACCATGAATTGTAAGATTCTCTCCAGCATGCTCAGCTGCCCACAAGTAGAGGCAAGTAGAAGCCAAAAACACACATGCAGTACTGATGAGAATTGCTAAGCAGAGGAAGTGAGGGGTATGAGGGTTTGTAAGAGAGTAATTTAGATAATCAACACAGGATGAATCTTGGATTAGGAAGAAAGGGAGGTCCAGAGAGTGCTGCCAGGTAGGTGGGAACAAAGGAACCAGAAAACCAGAGTCTACAAGGACTACAAGCAACAGATGTGGAAAAGTGAGACGATGAATACAATGGAAAGATAGAAGATTGTGGGCCAACGTAGAAACAGGAATCCAGCCATCTGCTGGTGAGCAGTGTTAGCTGTTTTCAGAAATAACAGGAACAACAATGTGTTTCTAGGGTGGGTAGCTGGACTGAATGCCCCAGTTGTGGGGACAGGGTTTTATGTGGAAAGCAAAAAGGCCTTCAGCTCCAAGCTAACTCAAATGCATTGAGTGTTAACTAAGAGACATATAGTGCCCTAGGAATTGGAAAACCAGTGGAGAAGCAAGAAAGACAGTAGTGCATCCATGTTTTCTGCTTCTACTTGAGGGCAGCTGAGCATGCTGGAGAGAATCTTACAATCCATGGTCCAGTGCCTCTATGCATTCCCATCTCCCCTCCCAGCTGGACTTTCACAGATTCTGTCAAATCTACACAACAGGGAGTGCTGCTCAGGTTTTTAACCCTAGAAAGCACTGTACATCCTCCACAAAAGGAGTTAATACATTTTGGCTGCAACAAACAGCTGTAGCTGGTGTTTATAAGCTAATCAATGATGGGAAGTGCTTTGATAACCTGACCCAGTGTCCTCTTTTCCCAGCGTGGTGCCTAAGAAATGAAGGTGTGAGTTCTGTGCTCCTGGGATCATCCACTCCTGAACAACTCATTGAAAACCTTGGTGCCATTCAGGCAAGTATTGCAGCCCCTTGCAACAAACACCAGGGAATTTATGGTACCTTTGAGGCTATTTCCAGGCAGTGTCCCATCTCTCCCTACCTTTATCCTTCTGGATGGGGCAAGAGTAGGGGGAACAAAGGCAACAGAACACTTTCCCGGTACATGGATCCAGTGTTGTTCTCTGCGTATTAACAGGAAGTGTTCCCAAAGCTCATTTCTCAGGATGGTTTGTTTCTGTGGAAAAGTGCATTCCAATGTTATGCCTGGCAACTTCCTTCCCAGCCCTCACCATAAAGCCTGCCTGATAACTTGCTTGGAAATTTAAGTCATAGGAAACTATACATACATCGTTTACTCATCTGTTCTTTCCACAAATATTGCCCAACTACTGTATGCTGAGCCCCTACTTTCTGTTCTCTTTTTCTGACCATCTTGTATTCCCCCTCCCATGATACCTTTTATGATAATGTAATGTAGTATAACTTCCTGTCTCTACTGATAGACTGCAAGTCCTCTGAAGTCAGAGACCTTATGTCTTTCTTGCTTCATCACTGGTTTTCCAGTTCCTAGGTACTTACTATATATGTTCCTTAGTTAACATTCAAGATCTATTGAATGAATACTTGTGATGTTTTAAGAGAAATGAGCTCAAAATTCTATTTTGGACTTCCAGGATCAAAGCTCCCTAGAAGAAAATTTAGGAGGCCCATCCCCATTCCCTATCCTGAGGATAGCCGTTGGTCCAGGGCACTAGATGGGGCCTGCAGCCATATTCTGGGGAGCCTGTAGTGGCAGTGGGTGGGGTGAAAAGGATGTTTCTAGGAGCTCTAAGGAGAAGGGTGGGGTTTAGTATCCATTGTGACCACCTCCTTTCCCCAAAGGCCACAACTAGCCCTGAGTCTGTCCTACTCGCAACCCTACTAAAAACCCTAGGAATGATCCTCCCCACAATTCTTGTTATAGCCACTACCTGCGAAAACAAGAAAGGTTGTCTATTTTTCTCCTGCTCACTGAGGAAAGGAACTGTCTCACAGCTTCTTCCCTATCCACCTGTCCCTGCAACAAGCACGTAGCCCTGTTACCATTCCCAAAAGGAAACAGGTGGAGGTAAGGATAAACAAGATTTAAAATCCTTTTTAAAAATAGCCCAGAACACACTGTGGAATAAATGGTATAGAACTCCTGCCCACTCCCCCAGCCTTCTTAGGGCTGTGTAGCCATGTAATCACCTCTACCTCTCTGCTTCTAACAACTGACATATCCAGCCTGTAACTCCTCCTGGATTCTGTTTCCTGTACCTGCATGGGGAATTCTCCCTCTTATAAATGCTGCCTCTTCCCTGTTATTTTAATTTATGCTCTGGGAAAAGATAAGGGTACACAGTGATGAGGGGATAGAACAGTTTGTACAAAAAAGGACTGAAATTCAATCCAATGATTTCAGTTTCACTAATGTTTATGGAGCACTTATTCTATGCCTGGCACCATGCTAGGCTGTGAGACGACTGAGATGAGTAAAAACAGGACCCGGCCTTCAAAGAGCTCATATGCTGCTGAGAAACAGTGAATTAATTAAACAATCTGTCCTTTCATTCATTCAACAAATCTTTGAGAGCCTCTTGTATACCAGGTACTGGAGATACCATAGGAAAGAAGAAAAACATTGTCCAACCTTCAAGGGGATTTTTACATTCCAGTAGGAGACACAGATAAATATACAAAATGATTTCAGGTTGTGAAAAGGGCTATTAAGTAAATAAATGTTTATTTAACTGAGGCTCAGAAATGGGTGAGCCTATGTTAAATGTCTTTGCAAAAAGCCCCTCTGGAGTGAGTATGTTTATTCAGAGGGCTTCACATGCCTTCATTTTTTACATGCCTTGACAACTATTCACATGCCTTCACACAGCATGAGAAGAGTCCAGGAAAGTGCATTTCAGGGACAGGGAAGAGCAATGCAAAGGCCCTGAGATGGGAAGGACCTTGGCTTTTCCCAGGAACTGCCAGCCTAAGGCCAATGTGGTCAACATGTAGCTGGGCACAGGGGATAGCAGATGCACTGACTTGGAGAGACAGGCAGGGCCAGATCTTGCAGGACACCATGGGGTTAGGTCATGCTACATGTAACAAGTCCTTGCGGAGGGTTTTAAGAGGAGGGGCATGCTACTATGAACGTCTGAAGGTCACTTTGGCTGCTGTGCGCAAAGTAGAATGAAAGGCGAGGGCAGTCATCCAGGCAAGAGGGGATGGTGGCTCGGATGAGGGTAGTGGCCCTGGAGGTGGAGGGAAGTGGATGGATTCTGCAGGTTTTGGAAAGAGAGACAACATGGCTTGGCAGAAAAGAGAGGAATTGAGGATTGCTATCATGCTAATATAGGGAGATCACTGCCATTCCTGGGGGCAGTCATAGTGCCTGGGGATGGTATATGATGTAAGTCTCAGGTTGAGTTTTAAAAGCTCTGGAAGTAGGCAAGGCAGCTGAAGGGGAAGGGGACACATTTCAGAGGAAAAGTTGAGTAATTTTTCTCCCCCAAATATGTTCTCCCTAGCAAGGCTTTGGCTGGCAGCAAGATGAGGCTTTGCCTATACTAAAGGAGACACTATCCATGCAGCAAGGCTGCTACCATTGAGGGCTTACCAATCCTCCCCTGTTCTGCTCCACCTCCCACATACCCAGCACTGAAGTCCACCAAGACAAACTGCGATTGGGTCCCACAACATGGTGAAAAGCAGACTGGGTGACGAGGGGTGTCCAGCAGTGGTGGGACTGGCTGCAGATGGATGGAAAATATGGAGCACCAGCAGTTGCAAGAAAATATTTCTAGTAGGTTGGGGAGGCAGCTTCTCCAAGGGAAGCCATCTGCCTAAATTGTGCAGGAACACCTTAGGGAAGTGTGTAAATCAGAGCCTGACATGTAGAAGAGACAAGAGGAGAAACCACAGGTGACGACAGCCCACCTTCACCCACAGGTTCCATCTTCCCCACTTCCACCTAAAAGATGGCAGAACTGCCTCTCCCCCCTCTTCCCCATATGCCTTAAAACCCTTCTGAGGCTCCCCATCATTCACTCAGAGAAGGCCAGGCTCCGCAGCAGTCGGGCCTCATCACTCCCCAGTACACCTCCCTGGAATCTGAATCTCAAGATGCTATGAACCACTCAGAGCCTCAGCAATAACAGTGGCCCTCTGCCTACAAACTGACCACTACCCCCGCCTGGCAAAATCCTACTCCATCCCTAAGTCCCAGATCAATAGGAACCCAATCCTGGGAGGACTTCCACCAATGCCCACCCAGCCCCAGCAATGCTAGGCAAGACTTCCCCTCACCCACCAACTATCCCAGGCAGTGTAACATCAAGTTGCAAAACTGGTAGCCTGTGGAGTGTTTCTTAAATCGGTAGTAGTTTAAAATGTTTTAAAATCATTGCTAACATTTTAAAACTGGGTGATTTCAAGTAGAGCTTCCCTTGAAAATTTTGGTCTTGCAATACTATATTTTCTTGTTCAAGGACTTTTATGGTTTCATTTTTTTTTTTTTTTTTTTTGATGTTTAAATCTCTTTCCTATCAGAAATTTGTTTTGGTGTAATTAAGGAAGGATTTTTCTCCTCACATGACTAACATGCTGTATTTTAGACACAAAACTTCCAACAAGTCCAGTTTCTAGGTTTTTGGTCTCATTGTTACAATCTCATTTTTAAATAACACATTATTAGCTGTTTGGACACTGAAAGTCCAGAGCTAGTGGGAAATCAAATTCTTCCTTCAGCTTCAGGCAGTTAAACATTAACCAGAATGAAGTTTTCCCAGGCTGGTAGCTCTACTATTTTGCCAAACCGTAAGGCATCTGAGGATAACACTTGAGTGGAGACAAGGTCACCTTGGCCAGCATGATTGCAGCAAAGGAAGAATGAGGTTGAAACCTCAGAATTGGTCATCAGAATTGTATTTCACCACAGTCTCCACACAGGGTCAGACTTTTCCAGTGAGAAAGTCTGCCTTTGTCCCTTGTCTTATGGTATAATGTGTACCCTTGGCCCACTTCTCACAATAAAGGCTAGCCTTGGATGAGCTCATCCTTTCCCAGGGCTTCAGTTAGCATGTCAGTGCATATGACTCACAAATGCTCAACTCCAGTCTTCTTGCAACTACTAAGCTCCACAGCTGCACTTGCAGCTGCCCAGTCACTCCTAGGTGGATATTTGACAGGCACCTTAAAGTCAACACCTCCTACTTCTTATCCCCAAACTACTTCTCCTGTGGTTTCTAATCTCAATAATCAACAATATTCTTCTAGTTACTCAGTCTTGAAACCACCATCATCCCCCAAAATGTCCTCAGGTCCACTTTCCTTTTCTGCTCCACTGCCCCTATTGTAGTTAAAGCCCTATTGCCCAGCTTGGATTGTAATACATATCTAACAGCTGTGTCCCCTTTCAACCTCCTCCAAGTCATCCTTCAAACTACCTCCAGGTATTTGATTGGGTTACTCCTAGATCATTACTTCTGACAGGTTCCCCACTGCCTAAAGTCCCAACTCCATAAAATGGTATCCAAGGCTTTCTACACTCTTTACCCAACTTCTATATCTTGTTCTTACCATCCCCACACCCACATCAATCACTGTATAATCACTCCAGTTCACTTTTCCATGCTATTCCATCTGCCTGGGATGTCTGTTAAACCCTGGCCATCCTTCACCAGGGTTCAGACCACTGGTCAGAATAAATCTCTCCTTAGTCTCTAGACCTGTGCTGTGCACTACTGTAGTTCTAGCCACAGGAGGCTACTGTGTGCGTGAAAGATGGTGAGTCCAGAGATGTGCTTTAAGTGTAACATGTTCACAAGATGTGACTTAGTACCAAAAACAACTGTCAAGTATCTTATGTTCTATATTGATTACATGTTGAAATAATGTTTTGGACATAATGGAGTAAAAACATGTATTAACTTCACCTGTTCTTTTTACTTTTTAAGATATCCAATAGAAAATTTAAAATTACAAATGTGGCTTGCATTATATTTCTATTGGATTGAGCTGCTCTATATTTCTATGAACCTTCACTTTTGCCTTTTGCCTTCATTTAAGCAGTCAACCAACAAGGCCCCTGACTTCAAGGAGCTTATAGTGTTTGGCGTGGGGGGGGGTTGGCGTGGGGAGACTTACTATCCAGCTGTGGTTTATGAACATGTACAAGTCTAGGTTGCTTTGCTTAATCTAGAGCACACAAAAAAAGAATGATCAGCACCCTAACTATATCCTTTGTACTTCTGCTCTCAGGTTCTCCCAAAGATGACATCACATGTGGTAAACGAGATTGATAACATATTGCGCAACAAGCCCTACAGCAAAAAGGACTATAGATCATAAGGCAATGCATGAATCACAGAAGCTGCATGGTTAAAATAGCGGCCTGTGCCCAGTTCAGAAAGGTGTTACTAACCAGTCTTTTGAATCACTTAGCAGCTTGCTGCTCAACCTCTAGTGACCCTCCCTGGATTCTTTGAGGTGTCTGCTGTTGCTACCACTGTGCACATCTGAAAACTCACAACCAGGAAAATCCATTCTATTTTCTTATCTTGGACTGGAGTCACCTATTCTTGCATTGCTCTATACACCTCACACTTATGCAATGGAAAGAATATGGGGCTGGGAGGTGATATATTACCTTCAGGCATTTGGTAACTCAAAGAAGGCTGTACAGATATATTTTTTCAAAAGAACAAAATCAACAGATGCAATGTGAGTTGCATAAGAAACAGAGTAGACTATCTTCTCTCAAATCTTTGCTTGGAAGAATAAGCAGAAACAATTTTATTTTATTCCTATTATCACATTCATATTAACAAGTTTTGTTCCATTTGTCGTACAACAAAACTAAAATTTCTAGGTATTTGCTTTAATTACCTTTCAAATATTTACTGTTGGTTGGCCCCAAGAATGGCCTTGTACAACTTATCCAGAATGTCTATTAGGATTTTAATGTTATGTCCACTTACAAGTAGAGACAGTAAAAGGATGAACACCCCAATCTTTAGTGACATTACAGCTGATTTATAAAAGAGAAGGTAACACTGCTGTGGAAACTTAGCTTTGAAGAAACTGCAATGTATCTGCAATTAGGTGTTCACTTTTTATGTTTTATTAAAACCTGCTTTATATTTTCAACTGCTTGTAGGCACAACTTCTGCAAGTTTAAATATCTGAGCTTTAAAAGTAAACATGCACATGCTCAGTTTTGAAGAACCTGTAAAATACCCAGAAAGGCAAATGTTCACTGCTTAATTAGCACTGGGATTTTACAATATAACGTTTGGTACTTTTGAGGTGATGTTAACATGAAAGTCAATCATGTGAAAAATGCCATCACTATTCAGAATATGCTGGGTAAATTAACTTGCCTAGTGAAATGAAAAACATTAAAGAACTTCTTGTTCTATAATAATATTATATGCACTAAACTATATGCATGAAAGTTCTCTGCATGGATTAATGGGGCTTACCCTTGTCACACTCAAAATCTGAGGTATACCTAGCCTTGCCACTATTGGCTACTTACCCTCATTAATATCCCACTTGAGGAAAAACTGTGAGAATATACTATGTTGGTATCTGTAAAAAGAGAGAAAAACATGTTTTTTTTTTTTAAGGGAGTGGTGTGGGGGTGGCCCTTTAACCCTATTTGGCTATCTGAGGATGTACAAAATTCTAATTTAATTTTCTGATCAGCAACTTTCCCATACAGAAGTCACTTTGAGGTTTACAGAAGAAATATAACATCATTTAAAAATGCTATTTTCTGTCATTATTTCTATATGTGATTTCATGGTTAAGTTCTAAATCTGAAAATGTTAGTGAGAGATATTAAAAAATTTTCTTTTTGATTACTAGTACCTGTATTCTAATAGAGAGTTTGAATTTTCTGCCCGAGTATCAGAATAATGATGGAAATTGATGGATTTTTTCAGTTGTTCATTGTGTATTCAATCCAGTGAACTACTCTATGTGTAAAGGAGCTGAGGTGCTGTCTAATGGGAAATGTGATTTATTTGCTTAGAGTAATAAAAGCATTTTGTGCATTCAATCTCACAATAGATTTTATCTGATCTTTCGTAAGGCATATGTATATTTTCCATACATGTAAAACATATACATGTAAAATATATGTGGCCATAAAATAGGCAATAATCATCTAAATAAAAATTATATTGGCAGCTAAGCTGTAATGAATACTCAACAGAAATAGTAGTGATCAAAAGTCTGAGATTTAAATTGCAATCCAAACATTTTCTATCAATGGAGATTACTGACACTATCTCTCAATGGGTTTTAGAACACCCTGCACTAAGGTTAAGGCTTCACAAATTCACTTTTTAAAACTTGCAAATCAAAACCAAATATAAACATTATGGCTTAGCTGCAGGAACAGCCAGTTTTTATATGCGAATCTGTCATGGTAAATATACTAGATAATGTATTTTACAGTTATGTCCTTAAAAAAAATTTCCATTCACTCTAATTTTCTTTTCTCCTCTGAAAAGAATTCCCTGGCAGAGAATATATCTCCAAAAGGTAACCTGGGTAGCAGCCATCCCTATATGGAAATCTCAGGCAACCTAGAAACTCTGTGTGTGGCTTTCCACTTTAAGAACTGTCACTTCACGAAGAGAGTGCTAAAGTCATGAGGCAAATGTCAGAGCTTAAAAGAACCTGAGCCATTTGTAAAGCCACCCCTCTTTGACAAATGAGCAAAGCAGGACTGGATAGATGAAAAAACTTGCCCAAACTCACACTGGTAGTGCAGAACCAGGCCTAGAACCCGAGTATCTTGTGTTCTGGTTCAGTGCTCCTTTAGATTTTTTTCTCCTTTTAAGCTTTAAAGTTTTATGCAGAAATTGTGAGAATGTTTAAGTTAAAAAACTTTTATTAATCCAAACTTAGAAATCAAACAACAGGGAAAAATCAGTGAAGAGATGTTTTGAAAATTAATGAAGGCCAACAAGATTTAATCTCTATCTCCCTGAAAATCTAAACCAACCCCCAAAAGACCCTCCTAATCTTCCATTAATTCCTCTGCTTGGGAGTCCAAGGAAGTGAGAGAGAATCCCTTAGAGCTCTAACAGATAGATACATCTACAAATTGGTTTTCTCCATAAATGTACACATATATGTATCCTTCCTTCCTGTCTCCAGAAGCATCAGTGATTGGCATGCACACTGAAAACAAAGGGGGAGGCAGAAAGGTGCAACAGGTACATACTGGCAGAGGCCTGGTGTCTCCCCTTTACTGTAACTGCTCTATGCTTTTCATTGCCTCAAAGATATTTGATCAGTAACTACAAAGATGTGCATTTACATGTGTGAGCTATTAAAATGATGGTTACACGTATACTTATGTAACAAACCTGCACCATCAGCACACGTATCCCCGAACTTAAATTAAAAAAAAAAACAATTTGAAAAAAACACTTTGAAAACAAGATGATGGTTAATGTGAAATAACGTAATAAAGATTATGTACTTCATCACAAAATTCTTATAAAATACAAATTTTAAAAAGCAAAATTTAATCATACTTATTAAACAAGACTTTTTACAAGAATTCAGTATAAATTCAACTTCCGTATTTCAGCTAACTTCAAACCTTGTTTCGAATTATCCTTTCCAAGTTTCAATAATATGCCAAATAGGACAACCAGTAAACTTTTATTGGTTAAGAATTTCAATCCAAGATTTTTATTAAGTTGTAAATGAAAGAACTAAAAATAGGTAAATGAAAATGTTTTAACACTTCAAAGTGCTACTTATGAGTATGAACAAAGGAATTTAATCACTTTGAATCCCAATTACAGATGAATCTTTTATTTCACGAGTGTTGGTTATGTGGTCTTTTTAAGACAAAAATTCTATAGCATGGTTTTACTATCTAAATCAGATTGAGTAGGTCACCTCTCTCTGTGTGCCACACAGACTTTTTAAATGATGAGAGTAGTGGGGAAAAGGTTCTGTAATTCCTGACAGTAAAGTACTCATACAGTAAATCCTTAACAAAAACTACTGAACTGCAAGTATAGGCCTTATAACCCTTATGCCCAGAAATTCATCTAATAATTTAGAAAGTTGGAAAATATCAGATTTAAAAACAGCGTGCTGTAAGAAAAATTCAGGACAGGAAACAAATTTTGCTCACTCCTTTTCCTACAAATGTTCAGTTTATTAATTCAAGAGAAACTATATTAGGAATATTAGGCTGAAACCCCATTTCACCACCTCATCTAAGCTACACTGTATTATACCAAGAATGTTGGTGATTTTTTCCCCATCTATACAGGCACTGCCATCTAGAGGCAAGTTTTCACCAGCAATTTTAAGATACTGGCCCAACTCTGCTAACAAACACACTGATGTCAAATAAGCAAATGCATTTATTTGATACACAGATTCCATGCCACCACTCGAACTATGGTCTGGCTTTGTTTTTTTTTTAAGAAAAGTTTTTTTGTTTGTTTGTTTGTTTTTGAGATGGAGTCTCGCCCTTGTCACCCAGGCTGGAGTGCAGTGGCGCAATCTCTACTCACTGCAACCTCTGCCTCCCGGGTTCAAGTAGTTCTCCTGCCTCAGCCTCCCGAATAGTGAGATTACAGGCGCCCGCCACCATACCCGGCTAATTTTTGGATTTTTAGTAGAGACAGGGTTTCACCATGTTGGCCAGGGGTTCAAGAAAAATTTCTTTAAAAAATAATAAACCTCTTAGTGTCACCCTAAGCATACCTTACAGTAAATCTGACTTCTGTAGTCACTTCACACTACCCAGTGATGGCACCTACATAACAATGCACCAAAGAAAAGTAAAGAATTGCCAACTTCTAGAAGCAATGATGAAATAGAATTCTCACCTGCAGAAAATGATGATCTGGGTCACTAAGCAAATGTATTCCTGCCCATTTTCCTTCCAAGTTCTTGGATGCAGCCCAATACATAGCATGGAAGTGGAAGTTAAACTCCTGATGAATAACTTATAAAATTATAAAGAAAACTAATAACATTTATGAAATTCATGTTAAATTTAGAATAGAATACTAAGGATTAGGACTATATTTTCTTTGAGATGCTGCTTGTGGGAAATTACTGAACTGCTATCACCTGTGATTTCACATCTTTTTAGGTGATTTTGTTAAAGAGCTTCTCACTTTTTCAAGCCATGGCACACACAAGAATGATATCTGTACAAACACAGGTAAAAAAAATGCAAGAGATTGCTCTTAGCCGGACCCCCAAAGGCTGAAGAGATAAATACTTTGTTCACAATCAATGGAAACCTGTAAACTAAAGAGTCAAATGTATGAAAGTCCTCATGGAAAAATGCTGACAAGCACTAAAATCACTGTAAATTCCTTGGAGAGTTCTTAGAACTGCAGAAGTTCAGAAAAATTACTTTGGTCTTTTACATGTCAATATTCAGGAAAAAAGTTCTCTCTCTTACTTAACATTCCTCCAGGGTGTGAGACCCTGGTCAAAGAAAACAATGACTCCTGTGTCTTAATAGGTCAAACCCACATGGCAGGGTCAACTTGACCTCTCTTGCCACTCAGGGCCAAAACCATGCAGCAGAACAGTGTGTTCTTTAACCCTGTAGGACAACTCTCATATGCCTGGGCACTATTTTTAGGTTACTAACTTGGCTGCCCTTCTTCTTTAAAAACACACACACACACACACACACACACACACACACACACACACACAAACTTGGCTGCCCTTCTTCTTTAAAACACACACACACACAGAACTTTTCCAAAAGTTTCTCTTCCTCAAGTTGGATAAATCATGTTTTTTAATTTTGTTATTTCAAATCACAAATTCAAACACTTGTAAACATTAAGCTTCTGTTCCATTCCCTGGGAAGAGGATTCATTCTGATATTTATGGTTCAAAAAAAAGTTGCAATATTGTGCTTGGAACACAGAGAACCAGTTATTAACTTCCTGCTACTATTATATAATAAATAATAACAGCTTAGCCAGGTTACTGTGACCTCTGACAGATCAAGGAAACAAGTTATTTTCTCCTCTTGTGATTACAGCACATTGCAATACATTTTATTCCTTTTAATAAACATCCTGGTACTCTGAGTTTCCCTTTCAATTCATTTAATTTCAACAATCTGTCAAAAACAGCCAATAAACAAATACTGAATTACATTCTGTTGGGTTTTTTAAAGGCTCTAGACTGTAAAAACATCTTGTGTGTCTCCCACCCTGACCACCCTGCTACTTTTCCATATACCACAGGCCACCCATAGACATAAAGCCAGGGGGCAAGCAGACATGGTCTACTTGGAGCCAGTAGACAGGAGGGCGATGAGTCCTGATGAAGCACTTATGGACAAAATGTAGTTCCTGTAAGAATTTAATGTTATGGAAAAGTTAATAACACCAAATTAGTTTTTCGACAAAATAAAAAGAGCCCATCTCTTTGGAATGTACTGCTTCCTTCCTAACACTTGGTATAATCATGCTGATGTGCAGCCCATTGTCTGCAAACACAATTTGCAAGACAGAAGACCATAAAAAATGGAAAACATTCACAGGAAATGTGTTCCAATTAAAAAAAAAACAAAACACTTAAAGACAGAAACCTAGAACACATGATCACAAAGAATACATCTGAATTCCATTTAACCTTCATGAAAAGAGCTGATCAAAGAATATGAGGAGAAAAGAAAGATTTGTTTTTTTCCTGAAGAGCAATGGAAAAATAAGTCTTTCCTGTGAATCAGTGTTTTGCTACAGTTGGCTTGCAATGGCAAGGAGGTTCTAAAAGTTCGAAGCTACTCCCAGTCCCAGAACTGTACAATTTTCGGCAAACCACTCCAGCATTCCCAGAAGGTGCACACTGGAGGGTATCTGATATTTTATTACATCATAATCACCAATTGTTAAAATGTTGGCTGCACATTCCTGGATAACACCTTTAATAAATTAATAAAAGAAGACTGATTCTTGCCCAAAAGCTCAATTTAAGAGCAGCTTGAAACACTATCAGGATACACTGGAATGAACCTATTTAACTGCATTGGCCATCCACCCAACCCCCAGAGCCCAAAAATAACAGCAGACACGGGCTTATTATTTCAGAAGCTATCAAAAATGACAAGTTTGCTTTGGCTCTTAGGAGCTTTTTTTAAGTAAGCAAGGACACACAATCCCATAAGACTGCTTTGTAATACTTTATCATAAAGTCATAATTCATAAACCTAAAAGAATCTTAAATTAACCCAAAAGCTGTTATTTTAAATGTCGAGAAAGTTACCTAAAGTCAGCACTATTTAATGGACTGACTCCCAGGGCAGTTTTTCTTTCCACTAAAATATCCAGACAAGTCAAAACCAAAATGAACTACTGTTTCTAGACCTCTAAAAAAGATAATCAACCTTTAAAAGGATACACTGTGGGGTTGAAGTTCTTCAATATGAAGAAGGAAGCAACAATGACCAAGACCAGGAACAGAGTGTTGTTATAGAAGATGGAAAATGTTGTAGCTTCATAATCAGCAACTTCATTCTTCTTCCACAGGATTCTAAGAGACACAGAAACAAGACAAACAAGTTTATCAATATGATACAAAAGCTTTAGTTCTGTATGGCTCTAGTTCATTTTAAAACAAGTTTTTTTCTTTTGTGTTCTAGGGTAAGAATGTGTTTGTAATATTAAGTTTAGTCAGAATTGTCCCCTTTCTTCAACTAAAAATAAAAAAATTTCACTCTATGATAGCAAAGAAAACATCGTGCTGGTTATGTTACCTTTTTTTCCAGGCAACCAGGGTTATGGAGGGACTCATTAATGGCAACTGGCACAGTTTCATCAGCAGCTGAATCAAGTGTCTTTCTCTTGGCCCTCACCTAAAACTCAGACTCCATGATTAGCAGCCTGTGGAGCTTCCTTAGCTCTACTCTAGGCTTGAGGCTTTCTACAGCCTATGGATTTCAGGCTTGAATGTCACACCTTCAGAAGATAATCACAATGACAAAAACTAGCTGTGGCCTCACAAAAGCAGGCTATTGTTAGCTATTTTTATTAATTCAAACAAAGAAAGCACTTAGTCATTAGGAGGATTTTTTTAATACCTGAAAAATCCTTTTACTTTTTACTCTGTATTTCTAGTTCTGATAGTATATCTTCTTGATATACTGGTATTTCATCAATCTTTTACCCCTTCACACAGGCAAAAGAAAGTTATAGGATGCCTGTGAATAAGGGAGCCTTTATTCCTCTTGGTTAATTAACTTTGTAAAGCAGTTTTTAAAAGAGTAGGTTGTGACCCATTAGTGGGATGTGAACTCAGTTGAGTGGATCGAATGCCCAAAGAAATTAATTGAGTGGGTTGAGACCAGCATTTTAAAAAAATGAAATAGGAAAGAACAGAAAAACATCAGCAGCCCATCACACACAGTAGGGTAATTACTGTTTTGTGAAATACATGCATGTGCCCACGTGTGAGTTTATTTGGTCAAAAGGTAAAATATATATTTTTTACTGTAGAGGTCATTATCAAAAAGGTTGAAGGCCACTTTTATAGACACTTTGTCTCCCCAAGAGATAAAACTACTCTGAAGCCAGATGACACACCTCCACAATCCTAAGGACAGCACTTTAAGTAAATTCATTGGTAATTGACACATTTTATTCACCAAGTGTACTAATCCAAAGACAACAGGTTTGGCTGTAAAGGAGCTAAATGAAGGCTAATTAACACCTTATGCTCAGCATAAGAAATCTGTAGTCTCTAACACATGTCATATTTCCTTGATTCCACAGACACCATCAACTTAATAACTCTTTCATTTACTGTAAGTTTGGAGGAAGGGAAGGACATTACATTAAGTGCAGCTATCACCTATAAAACACCTTCTAATTTCAGAGAAGTTTCAATGTAAATTTTTTTAAAACATGAGTTTGAGTTCTAGGAAACATATCACTCTAACACTGATGAATGAGACCAGTTGAGTTAGATGCATAGTCTCAACATGGTTTAACACTAGAATGAACACTCAGGACAAATGCCTCCATTTTTAAGACTCTGGCATGAGACCCAGGTTGCTTAAGTAGGTTATTAGCCTGCCTTTACTCTAGACAATAAATTTTTCTCACTTGCATCACAGTACTTCTCCCTAACTTCTTTTCTGTCAAGCCCTAAATAAGAAGTGATATGGTTTGGCTCTGTGTGCCCACCCAAACCTCATCTTGAATTGTAATCTCCACATGTTCAGGGAGGGACCTGGTGGGAGGTGACTGGATCATGGGTGCAGTTTCCCCCATGCCATTCTTGTGACAGTGAGGGAGTTCTCACGAGATCTGATGGTTTAAAAATGGTTCCCTCGGGCTCACTTGCTCTCCTGGCATCTTGTGTAGAAGGCACTTGCTTTTCCTTCACCTTCTACCATGATTGTAAGTTTCTTGAGGCCTCCCCAGCCATAAAGAACTGTAAGTCAATTAAACCTCTTTTCTTTATAAATTACCCAGTCTTCAGTAGTATCTTTATAGCACTGTGAAAACAGACTAATACAAGAACCATTTCCAAAAATGTTTTAATTAGGCCAGCTGTGGTGGCTCATGCCTGTAATCCCAGCACTTTGGGAGGCCAGGGCGGGCAGATCACGAGGTCAAGAGATGGAGACCATCCTGGCCAACAGGGTGAAACCTTGTCTCTACTAAAAATACAAAAATTAGCTGGGTATGATGGCTTGTGTCTGTAGTCCCAGCTACTCAGGAGGCTGAGGCAGGAGAATCACTTGAACCCAGGAGGCAGAGGTTGCAGTAAGCCCAGATCATGCCACTGCACTCCAGCCTGGGAAACAAAGCAAGATTCCACCTCAAAAAAAAAAAAAAAAAAAAAAAAAGTTTAATGAATGAAGTGGCCCAATCCTTTAGATTACCCCAGCTCCCAATATGACCACATGTTAGTGACATCAGTGTATAAAGTCAGGACGGCCTGATAGCCTTTAGAACTTTTTCCAAGTCCACCCATATCCTGGTTTGTTGTTGTTGTTGTTTTTGTTTTAAATTTAGAACCCCCAAATGCCCTTAATGCCAATGGTTCTGCCTGTTAGAAGACATTTTCTTCCTAGTAGGAAACCTGGTTTGGGAGAGCACTTCCCAATATCCCAAGGATGTTTTCAGGATGAGCTTCCTACAAGAGAAAAGTTGAGACCAAGCAACTGTTACAATCAAATAATGTTAAATGACAGATCACTTGTAAATCAAGAAGAAACCACATTCGCACTTTGGAAGGAATGTTAATGAATCTCACATTCTCCTCTGCTTATTTCCATCCCTGGATAAACGGATATTTTAAAGTAGTTTTAAAGTGGCATGGAGTATACAGAGCTTTGAGAGATACAGATCTAAGCAAAGAAACACTGATAAGCCTTCTCCTTATATCAAATCTCCTGGAATTCTTTCAGAGAGAAAAAACTAGATCTTAATGAGAAGCTCTGGTCCCAGTTACCAAGGTCAATCAATACAGGACAAACTGTATCCAGTATGGCTTTTATGATGGAAATAAAACAGCCAAATTTCTACCAATGAAAAGAAATAAATTGTATAATGTTCTGACACTCTGTATTTTCTATACATCCATGAAACCTCCACCTCATCCCACTATGAAATACCTAATCCGGCAAATGGCAAAGGTTTCATTCCCAATTTCAACTGATTCACTACTACCTGAATGCTAAACTGAGAAAGATTCTGAGCCATAACCCAAGATCAAGAACAAGTGCCAGACCAAATCTGTCCAAGACTGCAGTGGGCAGAGGAAACCCATTTACTATCCCTGGCATAATTAGTCACCAAAAACCTTTAAAAACTGTAACAAACATTTAGAAATTTAGGTAACTATGCATATTCTAGTTTAAGAAATACCATTTTAATGAAAAATTCAACAAGTTTTTCCTAAAAAAGTGATCTAGATTCTCTAACCTTGAACCATATGCAAAAAAATATGCAATTGGAAAGCTATGCAGCCCAACCTGATTAAAGCTGCTCCATGCAAAAAGGCCTCCATTGTCATAATACTGTGCCTTCAGTTTTATAAAGGAGCCATAGGAGATAATCATTTTAATATGTTTTGGTGCCTTTCCAAAACCACTATAGAAGACATTGTTCATTAAGTTACTCAGTGTCCCTTAAATAAGGATCCACTTGATAAAGTCTTTCCAAGATTCAGTGCCAGGAAAGTTTCTTTTCGGAAGGACTTGCATGCTGCTTCTCGTCAGACAATGAAAGCTATGTGACCTCAGATGCTTCCCCTAACACTTGGAAACCCGCAACTAAGTTCAGTGCTCAAATACTGTAACTACTCTAAGGTCCTTGTTCATCCACCTTTTTCTCCCTTTTAAGTGGTTTCTGGTCTTTTAAAATTGTGTTACTTGTTTTATATGCACTTTAAGAAAACCCTGTTAAATATAGAAAATATTCGCGCTTTAACACTCCAAGTTCACACAAAGTCTTTCTGGAGCAAAGTGGGGTAAAAATTATGTTCCAACAAAGCACCTTGTTGATACTAAAACTAAAGATTTACGAAAACAAGTAGACTCATGACTATTAAGCTATGTGGCAACACTTTATCCCAAGTTTACTTAGGGACTTCCTCTACTCAAATGGTAAGACTGTCCAGTAAGCCTTCTAAGAGCAGCTGGCAGAAAAAATTGGGAGTAGGGGCTAACAAATGCGGCACAGAACTGGGCAACAGGAGACAAACCCAGTTATTTTCTTTTTCCCAATTAATGCAGATAACTAATTACTAGATATTTCTCCGGAAGCTCAGGAATAGAAACACCACCACATAGACATGCTAACACATAAACCTTTCAGACCCAGAGGGGTTAGGAGATATGTCCAAGGTTGCACACCTATTAACAGGCAAAGCCCGCTCTATAGAAAGCTCTGTTACCTCCTCAATTTCAGCAGAACATTTACAAGTACAAGCTCTCAAGTCAGACTGCCTGTGTTCTTATCATGGATCTACCATGTACTAATCCAGGACCTTGGGCAAGTTACCCAAGCTTTCTGTACCATTCAGGTATAAAAAGGAAATAAAAATAGTAACTCCTGTGCAGGGGGCTCTTTAGAGGAATAAATCAAATATTGTATTGTATTGAGAAAGGTATCTGGTTGTAATAAAAACTCTAAAAGTCAGCTATTACTATTTCCATTACTACTACTTCTACAATTCCAAAATTTACAGCAAACAATTCCAAAATCCACATTCTTTAAGCAAAAATAAAAAAATTTTCTTCAAAGTACCCCCTTTTATGATGACCACACTTTAAATAGGAGTCAAACCTTTCATCTTTCTCCTTCCGAGACATCTTTCTATTATCAGCTTCAGAAAGTTTTCGAGTCACTTCTTTGGAAACAGCATCCTCCCTCTTCTGTGCTACTCTGGAAGGACAAGAAAAGAAGAAAAAGTTCCCATATGTTACAGAGGTGAACATCACTCTCTCTCAGAAACACTCTGTACTCATATGTATTGGCAACTGAATAATATCTCACATTTCAAGAAAAGAAGCTAAACAGAAAGTTCCAAGTTTATTATACAGCACTAGCCAAAAAAGAAGTTCAAGAAACATCCAAGATGTGGTTTATTAATGATGTGTTTTGATTTCTGCTTAAAAAGAAGAATTTTCCAAAGTTTAGGATTTAATGTGGATATTACAGTCAAATGCTATTAGCACAATTCAGTAAAGAAACATTTTAACTAATAAATAAATTTCATAAGGCATTAGCAAATGATGTATTATTTCAATTCCAAGTAAATAACAGGAGTGAAAACTAGGCTTAAACAAAGAGGAAATAATAGCTGTAATATCTTAAAGTAATGATTTTAACTTTATTCCAAATGACAATTTAAGCTGGGTATGACAGACAGAAAGCCCCAGGTCATTAAAGGCAAGTTTTCAATCTTTCTTCAACTACAAGGATGTCTAAGATATAAGTTAAGCATAAATTACAGCTGATTTTACCTTTGTCTCCATCTTTAGCTCTCTCACTCAAGAACTGACTTAGAATTGACATTGTTATTAGTAAAAGGAAAACATTTAATCAGCTTCAACTAATGTATTTTTTAAAAGGTTTACAAAGTTACTTTTTAAACTTTGTTACCCCACACAAGTTGGTAACTGTAAAGAGGGAAAAACGTTCTGGAAGATAAAAGAAAAAAAAACAGGTAAGAGGAAATCGACTCTGAAACCTAAAGAAAAAGGCTGCTAAGGGGGCAGACAGCTTTCTTTTTATGAGACATTTTAGGGCATTAAAATGAACTTTTTACTCCAAAGATCCAACTTCATTTGGTTCATTTTACTATGCAAAAACTATCCTTTCATATGCATCTTGCATTTCTGAGACACTCAGCTCCAAAGGCAAAGATTCTTCTCTCTGAACCTCTTTAGCAGACCAGGCACAAATATGTTTCTTCATGAGAACAGATTGTGAGAACAGGAAAAATAAGAAAAATTAAAAATAAATAAATGTGTTTCTTGAACTTAACATCGGACCACTTTTTTTTTTTTTCTACAAAAGACCAACTGAAAAGAAATGGACACAGTTTATGGCAGAAACCTTTCTTAGCTCAATATAAAAAATACAAACGTACACCCCAAATATCATGGTGTTAGGACACAGGAATAAACTACTGCAGTTTCAAAAGAGTTGGTTGTCACTATGCATCTTTAGGACAAATAGTAAGCCAACTGTCCACATGACAAATCCTCATGAAGACATTAAACCAGATAACTAAGCAATTTCTCATCTAGGTCTAGAATTTTATCCTTACCTACCAGGGGCATAACAACCACAATGCAGGTTTAATGCAACTCAAGAGGAGGAAGCTCTCCCCTCTGTCTTAGGGCTCTCAGAAAATAAACCTTACTCAGTGCTGAATGCTCTAAAATAAAAGAGGTCATGCTAGTGACCTAGCATTTAGTCAACTGAGATAATCCATAAAATGGATTGCATTTTTCTTCCTTTACTCTTTCACATCGGTATGTCAGAATACTTCCAGAATTAAAAATAAAATAAAAATAAAAGACACTATCTAATTTATTTTCTTTCTTTCTTTCTTTTTGTTTTTTGAAATGGAGTCTTGCTCTTGTCACCCAGGCTGGAATGCAATGGCACGATCTCGGCTCACTGCAACCTTGCCTCCTGGGTTCAAGTGATTCTCCTGCCTCAGCCTCCAGAGTAGCTGGGATTACAGATGCCCACCACCACACCTGGCTAATTTCTGTGTTTTTAGTAGAGACGGAGGTTTCGCCATGTTGGTCAGGCTGGTCTTGAACTCCTGACTTCGTGATCTGCCCACCTTAGCCTCCCAAAGTGCTGGGATTATAGGCGTGAGCCGCCTTGCCCAGCCGACACTATCTCATTTGTTAAAATAAAAACATCTTTGCAAACATTGTTTAAATTATGTTACCTTAAAGAAAAAAAAAAAAACACCTCCTAAGGGCTCTCTTAACCCCAACTTCTTCAACCCTGCAAATAAACATTTATCATGTGTCAGACACTATGCTTAACATGTCACATGTATGATCATACTGAATCCTTACCACCCTCTGAGGTTCCACTAGCATCCCCAACTTATAGCTGAGAAATTTGAAGTCTACATAGGTAAAATTATGCCCAAAGCCATACAATTAAGAGTGGCAGAGCTGGCACTGGAATCCAGACTATCAACTCTGAAGCCATCTTCCCTCTGCTGCCAACATCTACCCACACTCATCATCTTGCTGGATTTTTGAATCTTAACCATCTTGCAAATCTGTAAGAGTTTCAAAGTCAGTAGCATATTTAATATACAGCCAAAACTATGACTAAAAAACCTCTACTCTATTAAGGCAGTAAGTCATTGAAATTTTACTGAACTAAATGTACCATTAACGGTTTTAAGGGGTATAAAATAAAATGTGGCAAGTATCTTCAAGAAGCCTAAAGTAGAAATGAGAAGGTAAAAAGAACATGACTTTCATTCTAAAGAAATGAATGAAGAAAATGATATGAAGAATAAGTAAAAAATGACAAGTCTCAAAGAGACTGTGTTCCAAGAGTATTACAAAGGATGGTTCATAGAAGATACCCACTTCTAAGGGCTTCCTGGTGAACAGATGATCATGTCTCACAAGAAACAGTCCCATACAGTGGAGGCCCAGATGAGCTGAATCCTGGAATGGCAGCTGGTAGAGGGGCTGCCAAGCAGAAAGATAACAAAGATAACCCAGTTTCTCTGCTGGCCCATCAGAACTGCAGCCACGGAATCTGAGCTCCTTTGTGTGCAGAACAGTAGAGAGAAAACTGCTAAGGCCACTTCAGCCACTGAAGCCATTTTGGGCCATTTCTTAAAATAAATCCCTGTTAACTGAGATCATCTCAACATGTTTCTATTCCTCATTCCCCAAAAAAGTCTAACACAGGGACAACAGAGCAATGGAATGATCAAAGTCAGGAAGGATTTCTCTGGAAAAGATTCCTAGTCTTGAAATAAAACACAGGTTAAAAATGGAAAGGAAGCAAGTTAAACCTAAATAGGGAAGATACAAGACACATTCAAAGGATGACGTGAAGGCTGGGTCAGAAGGGTTAAAGCCTAATTCTGAAAGATGCAGCTAGACTCATAGGAAGGATGCAGATGATCTGCATTCCAAGAGTCTAGAAGAATTTGGCTTTAATACATTTAAAAAAAAAAAAAAAAAGAGGCATGGCTGGGCATGGTAGCTCATGCCTTTCATCCCAGCACTTTGGGAGACGGAGGCAGACAGATCACTTAAGCCGAGGAGTTCAAGACCAGCCTGGGCAAGATAGCAAAACCCCATCTTTATAAAATATACAAAAATTAGCCCGGCATGGTAGTGCATGCCTGTAGTCCAGCTACTTGGGAGGCTGATGTGGGAAGATCGCTTGGGCTCAGGAGGCAGAGGTTGCAGTAAGCCAAGACTGGGCCACTGCACCCTAGCCTGGGCAAGAGTGAGACTGTCTCAAAAAAAAAGGCCATGACGAGTTGTTATGAGAATGATATGATAAAAATGAGGTCACGTAAGGAGAAATACATACTCTTCATTCAATAAAACAAGGAAAATTGGATGCTGTAAGGATTATGAAGGGTAATGTGCTTTATATAGTGCATGGCAGGGTGGGCCCTAAACTTGTTTTAAGAGACCAGATGAAGACTGTTACAGAAATACAAGTAAAAACAGTGTCCAAACTAGAGTGAGAACTATGGATGAAAAGGTAATGCACATACAAAGTATGCTCGCATTTCAAGTATCAGTGAAATTCCAATTGCCTTTAAGAAATTACTTTCAAAGCAATATCGCACCTAGATAGCCTCACCAAGGAAGGATGGAAAAAATCCTGCTATCTGTACTCAAATATTACAGTGTGCATGAAAGCAACTTCAAAGGGCATCAATTAAACAATAATTTATACCTACTTCCAGTGAGACAATGCAGACCATGACACTGAGAGATAATGTCCCCATCTTTCCTAGGTCTAGATGCTTCTTCAGTTTAACCTCTCTGAAAATAGAGTACTTCACTGCTTATAATTGATATATAAATTTGTTGTGGTGAGGCTTGAGTTTTCGTCTCTAAAAGCTATATTTTATAATACATGTGATCTTAAAATGGAATACGTTAATCCTTTACATATGTTAATCCTTTACACTTGTATGAAAAAAATGTAATTAGCCTTGAAAATGACATAGAGTGTAATAAATAAAGTAACAAAATAAAAAAGACCAGTGTGGACAACATGGAGAAACCCTGTCTCTACAAAAAATACAAAAAAAATAAGCTGGGCATGGTGGCCTGCACCTGTAGTCCCAGCTACTTGGGAGGCTGAGGTGGAAGGATCACTTGAGCCTGGAGAGGGTGAGGCTGCAGTCAGCCATGATCATGCCACTGCACTGCAGCCTGGGCAACAGAGCTAGACCTTGTCTCAAAAAACAATAACAAAAAGATAATTTCTTTAACTTCCAAAAATAGTATGTGAAGAGCCCAGAACAATTCTCTCCAGAAATAATCCATTTAGCTTCTGAAATGTTAATTTGCTTGGTGGGTTTGTTACTCTGACGAATCTCTTATTAAGGCCAGTGCTTAAGTGTTCTAATTCCACCCTCAAAATCCACTTCGGTAGTCGTGTCAGACTGATCATTGTCTCTACTTAAGTTAGTTAATAATTCTTCCTTGTATCAATGTTCCTTTCCCCCAATATATATATATTAATACATATATATCTCAAATTAATGCTTATCTAACATACGCAAATGGTCATTAAAAAGGCATATAAAAATACAACATGTAGTAAGTACTTTCACTTGAAAAACATACTTACTTGTGCTTGAGAACAAATTTCACATTCTTGTATGCAAAAGCTACCAAATATGTGCTTACTAGGGTCATCACACTATACAAAACAGCAGACTGAATAAGATCCATGTGCCATATTCTCCAGTATAACCCTGAATTAAAATAAAGTGGGGAAAGTACAAAAAGAAACAAAAAATTACAACCCCATAACAAAAGCCTGCGAAATTAATTATAGCTAAGCCTGGTAAAATAACAGGTTATTAGTTATGCAATCCACTACAGTATCTGAGGATCTTCAGAAGAGAGATAACCAGTAACAGTTACCGTCTCAAGCTTTCTAGTTCAGAACACTTGAAAAACATCACCTTCCTATTACTAGTCCAGATGAAATTTCTGCTTCTAAAATGAGAACAAACTTTGGCTCAGCGTAATCACACGTCAGACTTCAAGTCAGGGTACTAGCACGCTAAATACAGGCCATTCCAAAACAACACATGCAGCAGCAAACCACAGTTTCCTTGCTGACGTGGCAGTTATCAGAACTCCAAGCAGTGCTCTGGTCGGATGACTGAGCCATAAGGCTTCACACCACGTTAACTGCACGCCGGGTTTTATCAGGACAAAAGAGAAAAATACATTTGGTTTTAAATGCCCAACAACAGTGCAGCAAGAGACAGGAGTCCTAGAACCCTGAGCTCTACTAACCTTGTCCAAGTCTGCAGTTTCCCAACCAAGTGAGAATTCTGGAATGGGTCCCGCAGGATTATTAAAAAGTCTAAACAAGGTAGATCGTTAACCCCTGGCACTTCAACCTCTCTCTTTTTGCAAACCAGGGAAATTATGCAGTGGTGTGAAGTAGCTCACATAAAGACACTTCTAATTCAGTGGGTTGCTTCAGGGGTCTCCCACCTAATTCATTAATTTATCCAAAATAAGAATATTAATTGAAAATTTCGTAAAGGCAAGCAACAGTTGTATGGAAAAGGGCAGCAGGCAGTATACTTGAGTGTGTGCGTTTAAATACAGACTTGGGGCCGCCACCCCAGAACTAGTTAACCACCATCTCCGGGGGTGGAGCTCCGGAACGTGCTTGTAACAAGTGACTTCCCCGAGTGCTGCATAGGACAATCCCAGGCGACAGCACTGAGGCCCAAAGAGGCTTTGTGCCTCCCTGAACTCAGGGGAGCTGGAGAGATCGTCGACCGCCGGTCGGCACCCGCGCCTTGTCTGCTAGCCCGGTCCTGCCACGTCCGGCCCTGTCCGGCCCTGTCCGGCCCTGTCCGACCCGCCCGCGGCCTCCCTCGCCAGCCTAGCTCCCAGCACTCACAGATGGGGATGGCAGACACGATGAACGCGTTCCCGAAGAACAGCGCGGAGGACTTGGCCGACAGGTTGCGGCTGAAATCCTGCAGGAGCAGGTCCTCCTCCGACTGCTGTTTGGAACCGCCTTTAGGAGCCATGGCGGAGCGGGAGACAACAGGAAAGGTAGAGCCTGCCGCCAAGCCGGGCAAAGGGCCCTGGCTCCGCCCCTGCGGCCGTCGTATCCGCTAACGACCCGTAAGCGCGGCGTGCGGAAGCGGGACCCGGCTCGTCGGAGAGCAAGCTTCCCCAGGATTGGCCAGCCTGGCGCCGCTAGATTGGCTTCCGGGCGTGATTGGGCGAGCGGGCCGGACTTCCGGTTTCCTGGAAAGCCACGTGACCCGTCCTCCTGGAGGAGAGAGAAGGGATTTGTAGTTTAGCGGGTGCTTTAAAAAAAAAAAAAATTAACAAAACTTTATTAATAGTAAACTTCACAGCCGCTGACAGACTCATGAGTTCTGAGTTTTTCAGCATTCCAAAATTAAAAGGACTTCTGGCCCCATTCCATTAGTGCCCCCTGTACATACCCAGAACTGGATGCATTATAGGAGAAAGAAGAGAAAGGTATAGCTAACTCATGTAAAATCCCTTCTCCTTTACACATACTTATTTCATTAAATACCTTCAACAATCTTATGACATGCACATCATTACCGCCATTGCAGATGAAGAGCCTGAGGATGGTAGACCTGTGGTGTAGGTCTCCAAGGTGTGGGTTCTTTTCACTAAACAATAGGCCACCTCTGTAGGAAGAAGAAAATGGTACACTTGCTTTTAAGAAACTCAATCTCATTGATGAAGGCAGTATTTAATACATGTCTGCTACATTTACAAGTTACTATTTTATTTTCTTTCAACTAAACCTATAGAGTTATGTGGCTTCCAAAGTCATGCTAAATAAAACATAATACTAAGAACAGGTTGGCTAGGCAGGACTCCTTCTCCAAAGCTCAGAAACATTAAGTATGCCTACTAAAACAGCTAGATGACATTTTTAACTCAACAAATTTTCACTTTTTCTTCAAAAAAAAAAAAAAAATTTCAACCACACCACTCTCAGCAAATGCTGCTTTTCATTACCGAGAACACTCCAGTGCATTAGACACAATTTCCTCAACCTCCAGCCTCTTTATCAACAGTTTCATAGGTATTTTTCTTCCTGGCAGTATCCAAATTGTAATCGACCTCCACAGCTTCCTATTACTAGCTCTAATTGAGCTTTGTCTTCAATCTTTTCCAATCTATTCTTTATACAGTTACCAGAGGAAGTTTTCCTGAAATATAAATCCTTCCATTATCTACTGCAAGTATTTCCTAATGCCAGAAGTTTTCACTAATTCACCACAAAATGAAAAAGAAAAATGACCATCTGGTGAATTTTTCAGAAAATCAAATGAATTCATTTAAAAATATCTGGGTTTATGTCTTTTTTACGTTAAAAGTATTCTTTATTTTATTTCCTGATAGTGATAGAAAAAGAAATTCTTATTTTCTTTTACAGCATACTCATCCCATATTTTTTCTTATCTCAGTAAATTGCATTCTTTTTCACCTATTTGCTCTGGTTAAAATGCTGGATTTCAACACTAATTTTTTTTTTTCCTTCTCCATCTGCGACCAATTCATAAATAAAACTTTTTGGATCTGTCTCTATAACTAGATTTTCTTCTGTCTATTTATAAACAAACCAAGGATATAAAAAGAAGTTAAAAGATAAAAATCAGAAAACCAAAAGATCCAAAGAGACAAAAATCATTTTTCTTTTAAAAGAAGAAAAGAAGAAACAATAATGATGAGAATAAAAAGAATTATGCCTGAGAAAAATATTTTAACAATGAAAACAGGAAAGATAAAAGTTTGAAATGTTAAGTGGATAGATAAAAATGTTATAATTGATATAACTAAAAAGAGGTAGCAGAAAAAATAATACATTTTGTAAAGCTAAAGATAACTGTAAATGGAAGATAAACTAAAATAGGAATTTTAAATTTTTCTCATGGGGTAAAAAAGATAGGGAATGATACTTATGACAGAACGTTTTTGGTAATGCCAACAATTACATTTATAAAGGTAGCACACTTGGAGTACTGAAGCAGTGTTTTCTTGTACCAGAACTACCTAGTTCCCTTTGAACAGCAAGCAGCAAGACCTACAGGTCACTTGTATGTGGTATGTATAGCCATGGCACACTGGACAAGCAGGGTACGTATTGTGCTGAAATACAGAAGGAGCGGTAGGTAATAAATTCTACCCAAGCAAAGATCTCAATATATTTTGCCCATTTCCACATAGTTTCACTTTGAAAGAGCCAGATGGACTTCATTCCATACCAGTCTAAGTCTAATCTATGAATTTTAGGCTTAACATTTCTATTATATCACTTTATTCTTTTCAGATTAGAGGAAAAACTCAAGCAATAATGTTTATTGCTGTCAGGTATATGGATAAGAGATTACTCTCATCCATTACTAATTACTTTGTGAAAGAAAATCCACCATGCTAAAAATTAATATATTTTTCTGTGCCAGACACTCCAAGTTGCCTAGCCAATATGGAAAGCCATTGCTAGCTTTTCATCGGGATCTTATAAAGAGTAACAAATGGATCATCCAGGGCTACTGTGGGGAGGGAAAAAAAAAAAAAAAAAAAGCTCCTCTGTTTTAAAACTTAGTTGAAATGCAAATCTTATGATGGGAATAATTTTAATAGAAATGGAACACTTTATATTAGTCCTTAGGTATAATGTTTTAAAGTATCACCTGAGAAATGATTTACTCAGCCAAACTACAATATCAGGCACTGATATTGACTAATTCATTAGTTCATGTACTCATTCAGCAAATATTTTTTGAGAAGTTACTACATGAAAAGTACTGTGCAAAACCTGTGAAAGTTATCCAAATAATAATCATGATTATTTTGGTTATAATAACCAACATGAATTGAGTCCTTGTTATATGTCCACCCCTATGCTAGGTCTTTCACATATATTGTCTGATTTATCCCTACAGCAACCCTAGGAGGTATATGTTTTTGTTGTCCCGATTTGTCAGATGAAGAAACTGAGCCTCAGATTAGTGAAATGACTCATTTAGATTCCACAGCCAGTAAATGGTGGAGTCAAGTTATGAACCCAAGCAATATGATTCCAGGATGTATGCTCTTAACCACAAATGAATTCTGGTCTCCTCCGTACAGTGGAATCTCTGATTCTGCATGCCTGATCACAACCCTATTTTGGGCAAGCAGCCAAAAGCAGTTTCTTATGCACTGATTATCAAGCACAGTCCCATGATATCGCAGCTCTCCCTAGCGCATTTTTGGACAGACAGGATCATAGACAAGCCTTGGTGGGCAGGCCTTTGCTCTTCATACCTGATTCTCTGTTACAGTGAGTTTGAAAATGAAACCTCAGGAAAAACAAACAAAACAATTAATAGACATATACAGAACAGGTATATATAACTGAGAAGAGGTAAAAAGCACAAGTCACAACTCACCAGCAGCCATAAATTAGGAAAGGGAAAATTAGATGCTCAAAGGGCCTTAGGGCTTCCTTATTTCTCTCTGTAGACCTGAAAGAGATCCCCATTACCTTCAATAAAGCTAAAATATTCAAAAAATGAAAACAAAACAGATCTGGAATCTATTAAATAATATAAACAACTTCTACATATAAATGAACATCTAGAAGAATAACTGTGCTCAACATAATTTGTTAATTTATATATCACTCCACCCCAAAACGTTTAAGGCAAAGATAACAAGATCAAAATCTCTATAAGATTCAAGTAAATAACTTAAGTGAGTGAATTGTGCCAGGCATAGGACATGAGATAGTGATGGGGGTCAATACAACTGGAAAGCTCATCTTTCCAAAAGCACTCAAACTGAAATAGAGAGATTAAACAGAAAGAAAACCACAATCAACAGCAAATATTGTGTAACCCAAACACAACCGATTTGAGGTTTAATCTGCCCCATAAACTCCCAGGTTTAAGGAGACAGACTTAAATGCAAATAATATAAAAAAGAGAAAATCTTACCATTTCAGAAGAAACTGGTCTTTTGCAGAGCATGCTGGAAGTTGGTCCTTATTGTTGGCTAGGCCTCTTCCCCCATCCACTCATTTCCCCAACACATAGGCTACTGTTGACAGGAGACATTTGCCAGCTGGGATTTTTTTTTTTAAATAAAGATAAGGTTTCAAGAATTCTAAATGTATACTTTGCATGGAATTGATTTTTAAACTCAATGAAGCATTGAAACACTTGGGGAACAAGGATTTGTCTTTGAGCTTGTAGCTTATTCTTTCCAAGGTAGACATTGTTTTCCTTTTTAGGAAACACTGATATGACCAATGTAAATTGGGGGTTGCTTCTGAAGCAGTCAGAAAAACCTGTTCCCTTTGTGCCTAAGGATATTCATAAAGTCACTTATTTATTTAAGAAAATGATACACATCTACAGAAAACATATTATTTTAATAACCACTGACAGAGACCATAATACTTTAAATCTCAAAACTCCCCCCAGAATCTTCTAAATGTGAGACTTATCACACATGCATCATTCATGCAGCACTACAGGGCACAATAAAAATTAAGATTTACAGTGGAAATCAATTTTCTTTCGTTACACATTTAATCCAGGCACTATGGTAACAGAATGTAAGACAAAGTAGGTCACGAATTTTAACTGGAATGGCTTAGGTGTTACAGAAGCCAGTTGTAATTTGTTGCTCATGTTTTAGGACTCTTTCTTTTAAAATTCTCTGTTTCACAGCCCCCAGTTAATATTATCTAACAACTTACTAGATGAAAACATGAGATCAAATGCCAGGGTGAGATTTATTCAATCTCATTATTTATTTCACTTGGTTTGCTAATTGATTAGTAAAATTCATCTCCATACTCATGAATAAATGAAGAAAGGAATTCCAGGAAAAAGGAACAATGCATGTGATTTGGTTTGGATGTGTCCCCACCCAAATCTCCACTTGAATTGTATCTCCCAGAATTCCCATGTGTTGTGGAAGTGACCCAGGGAGAGGTAATTGAATCATGGGAGCTGGTCTTTCAAGTGCTGTTGTCATAATAGTGAATAAATATCACGAGATCTCATGAGTTTATCAGGGGTTTCTGCTTTTGCTTCCTCCTGATTTTTCTCTTGCCACTGCCATTTAAGAAGTGTCTTTCACGTCCCACCAT